CAGCTGAATCTGGTGTCTGCTGGACTGACTGCAGTTGTGTCTAAGACTGGAGAGGCACGGTGAGGCAATGGCAGAGTCTAAGGGCAGTGGGAGGTCCTGCCACCCCACTTTCTGGTCTCTGGGGGAGATAAGGGGGAGACCAAGGCAGGGCCAGGACATAGATTTCACATTTGCCCAGTAGAACCCTTGTGGGGACCCCAGGAGTGGGAGAGTTCACTGTTATCTTCAGTGTTAGTAGTCACAACCAAGGCAACCTTGCCGCCCAGGACCTGTGCTTCTAGGGGGAGGTGCCGTTTCCATCTGTGGGGTGTGGCTTGGCTCTTCATTTCCTGGCCACTGGTCACTTGTGCGACACCTGAGTAGTTTGGGGTAAACAGAGTGTTCCTACTGGCCCACAAGGAACCCAAAGATCTGAGTGGCCTTAGGCTACTGGCATAACCCTGGCCCAGGCTACAAGGCAGAGTTGTTTATGTTTTGGGTTTGGGGCTTATGCACACAGGGTACCTAGACAAAGCCTGACCTGGGTCCTCTGAGATCAGAAGAAGGCGTGAGGCAGGGATGCCCCTCCTACTCACCTAGACCCCTAGACCCCTGTCATGGCAGCGCTTGCCAGAGAAAGGGGAGTCCTGTGTGCCCACCCTGCCACTGCCCACTGCTACAGTACCCAGATATCCAGTCCCCTTGGACGCCTTGTGTCCTCTCCAGATGGGCACCCACGTGGGAGGCCCAGGACCTACGTCTGCAGTTGTATCCTTTAGGGCAGTCTGGCTGGCACAACACCAGCATATGTGGCCTTCTCTCCCATCACCGGCCATGCAGTCCAGCCACGCCACCAGGTCTGGAGAAGGCTCAAACGTCCACCACAGTCCTTAACTAAGCAAGCCGGCTGGGGCAGAGGTAGTGGAGTGCTTCCTGGGGGACCTGGGGGTGGTGGCCAACATACTGTGATTGTAACGAATAGCCTGTGGCACTCAGGAATGAGGGTGCCAAGGGCGGTGTCAATACTGATGGCCGTGCTATGGGGGATTGGTGTGATGCTGACGATTTGATGGAGAGGGGCAGGAAGTGGAGAGGGTGATGGCAGCGGTTGTGTTAATAAAGGGATAGGAGATGGCGGAGGTGATGGCGCTGATGAAGGGGCAGAGACAGGCTGGCAGAGGCACGCCCCGAACTTGTCTCCTAGTCAAGAGGCTCCCGTGGGCCCCAGTTTGCAGTCCCCCCCCCCCGCTGGACTTGTTGCTGCCCCTCCGCAGCCTCTGCCAGCTCCTCCCTGCCTTCACGGGCACCGCAGGGCTAACGTGCACGCAGCCCTTTGGCCAGTAACAGAATGGCACAACCCCATCCAAACTCACTGTCCAGATCGCTCTGGATTCTGCGGCCCTCCCACCGCCCGGTCGGTTCCCTAGGAGCAGGCGACTATGAGGAGGAAGATTCCCGTAGTACTCCGTCTGCAGAGGCAGGTGGGGGATGCGGGGACACAGCCCCTTGGCCTGCGAGGTGGGTGTGTGGCAGCGGCCTAAGTCAACGGATGGTTCTGGTCGACGCGCCCAGCCAACAGCTATTGACCTGGTTCTGCCCTCTGTCCCTGCCACTGTCCCCGTTGAGAGGCCACTTTTCCTATGGCCTGCAGCACCCATCCTTGTGGGACTCATTACCCAGACTCCCCGCTGACTTCTGCCCACCATGCGGCTTGGTGCATGAGGATGAGGGCAGCCACCCAGTTCAGTATTTGTTGCTGGAATGATGAAGCTGGCAGGGGTGGGGACAGAAAAAAAAAAAAAAAAGACAGTAAGCAGTTAAGAGCACTGAGGACCCAGGTTCAATTCCCAGCACCCACGTGGTGGCTCACAACGGTCTGTAACTCCGGTGCCAGGGGATCTGATGCCCCCTTCTGGCCTGTGTGCACTGCACACAAATGGTACAGACATACACACAGGTTAAACACTCGTATAGAAACAAAACAAAACGCCTTAAAAACAAACTGTTGGACCCTTTCCTGGGACGGGCTAGCTGTTCCTCTGCATGGAAGCAGTGGCCCCCCAGTGTGAGGGTGCCTGGGCATAGCCTGTGGGAGCTAGAGAATGGTAGACCTCGGCCTCTCCACTAGGAGCTGTTTGGTTGTCCTCTTCTCCTGCAGGGTTGGACCGGATGCGGCCCCACCTTCACGAAGGAAGGCTTTGTCTCTCCCACTTGGGCTCGTGGAGGCTCTATCTGCCACACTATTCAGAGTTGTGGGAGGGGGGCAGATCTTCTAGGACAACCCTGAGGCTCAGTGCCTGCATGCTGTGCCAGGACATGGGACAGTTGTCCGTTCCATTACACGAGCACTGGGCGGGCCCTGTGCCTGCCTTCCCCTAGGGCTCTGAGGGTACCAAGGACATGCGTGGGAGGTAGGCAGGCTGGTTCCTAGCCCCTGCCTATGATCTGGGTCACTTCAGGGAGGGGAAGGTCAGAGATACCTCCCAACTCTCCCCTCAGCAGCTTAAGGGTGACTTATAAATAGAAGCTGCCGTAAATCCTGGGTCAAGAGAGCAGGAACAAACAGATTACTTGCTGATTAGCAGGACAGGGCTTTGCCAGCATGAAAAGCACTATCCCAGGGAGTGAGGGAAGAGCTGGGCCGAGTCCATCCTTTGGGGTGCACTGGTGTCTGGGTGATCCTGGGCAGAGCTCCCTTGCTTCTGACAGATGGCTTCCAAACCTGAAGACAGAGCTCTAGCTGAGACTCCCTCTGGCTTCATGCTACCCCAAAGCATGCTTCCCCATCTCAGTGCCTGCCAGGAGGTGTGAGGAGCTTCACTGTCTTCTCCCTCCAGGGATCAATGTCTCAGCCAATCAGGACGAAGAACTGGACCATGAGACCTTCCTGATGCAAATTGACCAGGAGACAAAGACGTGCACTTTCTATTCCAGCACGGGTGGCTACTGGGCCCTGGTCACTCACGGGGGCATTCAGGCCACCGCCACTCAAGTGTGAGTGCACCTGTCCATGCTGTCACCACCAACCTCTTACAAACACGGCCACTACTACCGTCTCCCCCACCACCACCGTTTTAATTTTGAGACAGGGCTCACTTGTAGCCTTGGATAGCTTGGAACTCAGGATACAGACCAGGCTGGCCTCCCACACCGACATGTGCCTTTGCCTCCTGAGTGCTGGGATTGGAGGAGTGTGCACCACTGCACCCGGTGGCCACCATGATGGCTGTCACCACCTCCACAACCATCATCACCACCGCCATGCTGGGCACAACTTAGCTATGAGGATAGGAGCCTAGACAGCACATAGCTCTCACTGGCCATGGGTATTCTGTAGTGGGCAGGCTTCTGTCTCATCCCTGGGACCCAACGAGGTTAGGGGGACCAAACTACACCTCGTTCTCTGAGATCTTGTTTGCCCACCCCCTCCCCAGTTCTGCCAACACCATGTTTGAAATGGAATGGCACGGCCGGCGGGTGGCGCTTAAAGCCAGCAACGGGCGTTACGTGTGCATGAAGAAAAATGGGCAGCTGGCCGCCATCAGTGACTTTGTGGGTGAGCACCCCCTGCCTTCTGTAAGTGGGGGAAGCTTTTCACCCAGGGCCAGTGCATCTGAGGTCCCTCCCTACCCCGTTCGTCAGGGAAGAAGTCAGATCCCAGGGTGTCTTCTCCTTTACTGTCTTTGGGGGCCTGGATGCCGTCTTAACACCTGCACATTAGGAACGCCTAGGTTGTGCTGTGTTAGGTTCCTTGCCACAGTGGCACATTAGGCAGTGGTACACCCGGACCCCCAAGTCTATGACCTGCATAGGACAGGTAGGGGCAGCAGTGGTCCACAGCATCCTCTCCCTTAGGCGAAGATGAATTGTTCATCCTCAAACTCATCAACCGACCCATCCTGGTGCTGCGTGGCCAGGATGGCTTCGTCTGTCACCGCCGAGGATCCAACCAGCTGGACACCAACCGCTCCACCTACGATGTCTTCCACCTGAGCTTCAGGGATGGTGCCTATCAGATCAGAGGTGCGGCGTGGGGTGCACGGGCGGCGTGGGGTGCACGGGGCCCTGCCGACCTCCGGCTTTGCCTCCAGGTCGTGGAGCTGGGTTCTGGTACGTCGGCAGCCATGGAAGCGTGTGCAGTGATGGCGACTTGGCGGAGGATTTCCTCTTCGAGTTCCGAGAGCGCGGCCGCCTGGCCATCCGTGCCCTCAGTGGCAAGTACCTGCGTGGTGGCGCCTCAGGGCTGTTGCGTGCTGACGCAGACCTGCCTGTGGGGGAAGCTCTCTGGGAATACTGAGGACTCACAGGGCACTGACCCCAGGGCCCCACCGACCCAGCATCAAACCTGTATTGCATAGCTGCAGTGGGCTTCAACCACCCAGCTTGGTAACGCCGAGGGTATGCACTTTGGAGTCCCGGGCCTGTCTGCTCACCACTAGGGCCATCTTCTATTAATCAAAGGGCAGGGCCAGAGCTGGAAGCGAGCGTGTGTGTGTGTGTGTGTGTGTGTGTGTTGGGTGTGTGTGTGTGTGTTGGGTCAGAGATTGGGCCAAGCAGGCCACACTAACCTAGGCTGCCCCAACCCTACTTGGGGTCCTAACATCCTCCCCAACTACCCAGGGCAAATGAGACCCCTGGAAAGTTGCAAGTCTGGGACAGTAAGTCACTCAGCCAGGGAATGTGTTGGGGTGCGGAGGCAATGGATAGATGATAGGAAAGCAGGAGGCATGCTGGGAAGGAAGGTACAGCTGGATACCCACCCCCAACCTTACGAACAAGAAAGGGACTGTCCTTGCCTTACCCAAAGCAACCAGGGTCACACTTCAGGGTATGTATATACCTATAAATTCTTGGAGCTGACCATAGCAGTCTGCCTGAGTGGGCTCGGTCTCGGAATCTGGTGGTCTATGGCCTGCAGTGTAAGGATGCCAGGCGTTATCTGGCGTGTACGGGGACGTCATAAAGGATTAAGGGGCCCAGCTGGAACAACGGTGGCTCTTACTCCATGATGACAACGCAAGTGAGGCTCTCCAGCTGAGCCTGGCATTTCTTCAGCTCTGGCAGCCATCTGAGCCTGGTGCCGGGCCCTACTAATCCCGCCAGTGCCAAGGATGACCGGCCAAGCCCAGATGTGGGGCCTGCGCCCAGCTGCCCAGCAAGGCTGATGAAGTGCCAGCAGTCCCAGATGACATGCGCCCCGGTGGCTCCCAAGGCCTGCTGGAGCTCAGGCTAAAGACAAACCCTGCAATTTCTGTGGACTATAACGGCAAGTAGGGGACACTAGAAAAAGTCATCTGTGACAGAGACAGAAGTCAGTTCAGCCGGGAGACCCCTCTGCGCTCCCAGGCAGGCCTGCTGTCCTGTGGACTGACCCAGCCTTTCCAACTTGCTCGGAGACAGTCATATACACTACACGCCGCAGCTCGAGGCTTCCAATCAGGACAAGGCTGTGGACAGGGCTCTTAGCAGGCCAGCAGTCAAGGTGCGCCAGCAGCCCTGGCAATCAGCACCTTGCTACAAAAACCAGGCTTGTGGACTCCAGGCTGCCAAGAGAGGCCTTTCTGTCTCCTAACTGCCTCCGAGGAGAACTCTGTCCTGCAGGATGGACAGACTCCCGTGTAAATGCCCTGTGAGGTGAGCCCTGGTGGAGGTAGCTGGGCGCTGTGAGAATGTCCTTTTGTCGGGGCCAAGGGGAAGTGGGGAAGGGCCGCCCACCCAAGGGCACAGAGCACGGCAGACTTTGAAGAAGGTGGGGACGGAACTGAGTAAACACTGGCTGACACCTGGGACGCCATGAAAAGGGCAGCTTGTCGCACAGCACAGCACCTCACAGACATGCTCTCCTCGCATAGTGGGGACAGCATGGGGACCCGGGGGTGGGGGTGGGGAGGCAGCTCAGGCCACCAGCATCGGTGGGAGCCCTCCCGTGGTCTTTGTGCTTTGGTTGCAGCGGGCATTCTACCACCTGGTGGCTCCAGAGGGGCAGCCAGTGCTCCTGGGGCGCGGCAGGGTTGGCGGCAGAACAGTCCCGCACCCACAAGTCTGAACCCCAGAAACCCCGTGTCTCCACGGCCCGGGTACTTGGGCAGAGATACTTTCCACTAGGGCTGCAGAGGCTGCGGTGGAGGGGTACTGCCAGGCAAGCCCCGGGAACTCATCCTGGAGTGTGCCCCGCGGTGAGGAGAAGCCGGCCAGCAGCTGTGGGGAAGGAGGAAGGCATGAGAGGCAGCAAGGCGGACACTGCCTGGATCTAGCTCACACCCCACCTTCCCAGCTCTTCTGGCTGAGCCTCCCGAGCCAGGGAACCAAAGTGTATCCTTTTCCATCCGGGTAGAAGCACACTGGAGGAAGTGTGGAAGGGGCCCAGGACCCACCTGGTCACAGCAGGACAAGGCTAGGGTTGCGTAGCTGTTTGTAAACCTGCAGGAGCTTCTGGGCTGTGGAGTAGGACCTGACTTCATCCTCCGTGCACAGCTGGTCACGCAGCGTCTGCACCTCGCGAAGCAGTTCCTACGGGCAGACAGCACAGCTCAGCCTGGCCCTTCACCTACAAGCATCTTGTACTTGGGAGGGAGAGGGTGGTCCAAAAGAGGGCACTGGGCCACATGGCCTTAATGATGTGACATACAGCCACGTGGACATGGCCAGGCCAACGGGAAATGCACATAGCCCTATATATCTTGATCCCATCCTAAGAACCCAAACAACTGAAAACAGGCCCCCACATGCCACCTGGGGACGCTCACACCCAGGAACCAGGGCTCACCTGGTGGTTGGCATGGATCTGGTGTAGATACTGCATTCGGAGGTCAGGTGGGCTGGAGCCTTGAGCAGCTTGCTCTGTGACCATAGTCTAGAGGACAGGAGGGTTGGGGGACATGTATCGGGGAGGGGCTTCCTGGAGTGGGTGCCTGAGTCTAGAGGCCAGGGTCTTCATGCCCCTCAGATCATAGTGAACACTTCTTGTCTGTCTACCCGAGCATTATCACCTGGCTTTCCTAAACAGCTGGCCTGACTCCTGTGGAGAGGCCCACTCACTTCCTCCTTAGAGCAGCTGGGACTCCCACCTACAATAATTAAGAAAGACGTTTCTACAGTTTAAGTCAGGACCTTAAATAACTCAAGGTAGCTTCAAAGTTGCTGTGTAGCTTAGGCTGGCCTTGAATTACTGATACCTCCTGTCACACCCTACCAACTTCAAGGATTTCAGAATGTACCACTAGGCCTGAACAAAGAGCCTTTTTTTTTTTTTTTTTTTTTTTTTTTTTTTTTTGTTTATTTGGGTTCTGAGACAGGTTTCTCTGTGTAACACCTGTGGATGTCCTGGAAGTTGCTTTGGAGACCAGGTGGCCTCGAACTCATACAGACCCGCCAGCCTCTGTCTCCCAAGTGCTGGGATTAAAGACGTGTGTCACAACACCCAGCTTAAGGAGCCGTTTTAAAACCCCTTTCTCACTTGTTTGGCTCAGACAAACTTTGGGCTGGGCCTTAGGCAGGACCGCCATCTGGTATAGTTGCTCATTCCCTCTGAGGCTCGGGTAGGGCCAGGCAGTCTTTCTTGTTCCCGAAGACAGTCTAGCATGCTGCGTGGCCTTTTCGGACAGGACAAACGGAGTCTCCTGCAGCACATCTGCTGCGGATGGGTACCCATGGGACCCTGGGGTTGCTGCCTATGGGAAAGCTAACATCTGGGGGAGGGGTTTCCGTCTATGCACCACGGAGGTGTCTGGCTGAAGGTGCCCTGCTGAATGCCATGTGATTCCCTTTCAAGGATCGACTGTGTCCTAACCCTCATTCCTCTGTAGGAAGCTTTTTTGAAACAGGGTCTTTGCAGATGACCAAGATAAAGTCACTAGGGTGGCCTTAATCCCATGCCACTGTCCTTGTAACGGGAAACTTGGGGAACAGGTGACAGACGTTCTTGAAGGCTGGCTGGCCCTGTGGGTAGTCTCTGGGTGGTGGCATCACTGCTTTGGAGACAGCTGTGCTAGCAGTCTACAGAATGGGGACTGAATTCCTGAACACAGCATGAAGCCCACAGCTGGGTTACTGTTAAACCACTCACTTTGTGAGGCGAGTGTCACAACCGGCAATTAACCCTGGGAATCATGTGCTAAGGCTGACCTTGAGCTCTGAGAGCAGCTAGCACCTCTACTCAGGGCACCTGTCAGCTAGCAGGCCCCGATTCTCAGGGGAAGCAACACCAGGGTACACAGAGACAAGCTCCAGGGTGAGGCTGGCGGAAGGCTACAGCCAAGAACTGCCAGGTGGCCACTGTGGACCTCGCCTTGGGGCTGGGAGCCTCACTGGTCTCAAGTGGGTGATGGGTGCTCGGGGCAGAGCTCTGCTGACGGGCATCAGAGACTCAGTGCTGAGCGGTGCTGAAGTGGCCTCTTCTGCACAGATGGCCTCCCTGGGCTGTCCCTATCTACTCACAGTGCAGGCACCTTGGCCTGGAATCTGTATCTGGGGCTTGGCCCCAGACATGACAGGTAATGACTAGAAATTTATGGGACATATAGACTCAGCTGTTTCTGAACTTGTGGGTGACACAGGCTGGCAGCACGCCGCAGGGGAGTGTCTTGTTTGCTCAGTGGGCTCACACATGCACATTGCCCACAGCTGCATGGGTCCACAGAGGAGACCCTTCAGAGCCTCCTTCCCCAAACCACCCCCCCCCCCTTGCTGGCTGTGATACCTGTATCCGTCTGATGATGGCATGGTGTGCCCTACACATGTTGGCCAGAGAGGAGCTCTCCACTTGGATCTCCACAGCCTGGATGGGCCCTGCGGGGCTCAAATCGGTCACAGCTACCTGCAACGTAAGAGGGCCTGAGTAACCGCAACAGGGTCTGGGCTGTTCTTCACATTTTACAGTGGGTAGGCGGGAGAACCATAGTTAAGAAACCGATTTGCAAGAGACAGCCATATCAGGGTGAGTCAAGATCCAACCCTGTAGGAACCGCCTCATTCTGAGCCTCACGTTAACCTGGCTCCACGCCAGGAATACAATGAGGGCCTAACACAGGGAGCTCAAGTGCCTGTCTGTGGGCATCTCAGCACCCTTCAGGAGATCCTGACTGTGCTAACTAGACGGGCCGAGGGCGGGGTAACCCTGGCTTGTTCTTTACACAGTGGCATAAGACCCAAAGCCTGAGGACTGTAGAGAGGCCTTGGCCACCACAGGTTTCTCCATGTGGTTGTGAGCAGACTCTGTCCACTAACCAGAACCACTGCCAGTTCTCAGCCTTGGCCAGGGGTCATCTGGCTTAGACGTTGGTTACAGCATGGCTCGAAAGGGCAGTTCAGTGGGCAGTGAGGCAGGGAACTTGGAGGACATGGCCTGGTTATAAATCCACTCGGAGCTGGAGTAGAGGCCCATGGCTCTTGGCAGACAGGGCTTACTCTCCAAGAGTCTCTGACAGTATGATGTAAAGGTTAATTGCAGGGGATCCTGGCTGCTGGGAGGACACCCCCCCAAAAAAACGTCTGTATGAGCCTGGGAGGTGGTGGCACAGGCCTTTAATCTCAGCACCCAGGAGGCAGAGGCAGGCGGATCGCTGTGAGTTCCAGGGCAGGTTCCAAAGCTACAGACAAACCCTGTCTGGAAAACCCAGAAAAAAAAGCAGGGGAGAGAAGGGGAAGAGGGTGTATGACAGGAATGGAGTTCCTTATTTGGAGTTCCCCACACTGCCCTCTGCTGGTCCGATAGGTTAGCTATGACTGGCCTGAGAAGGCTGACCACCGTACTGTATTTACTGTCCACTGTGACCCTAGCAACGCCAGGAAGAAGGGACCCATGATGGAGTAGACAGCGCTGGTCCTCCCGGGGACCCAGGGTTGGTGAGGCGGAGGAGACTGATGGGCAGTTATTCTCCATAAGCAATGGCCCAGGGACCCACTGAGGACTGTGGACGCCGAGACCCATCCCAAGTGACCCCTGCTTGCCTCATGGACGATGAGGTTGACATCAGTGCCATCCGGGGCTATGCCCTGGATGCAGGACAGTTTCTGGGCCCTCACAACAGCCACAGCAGCGTTCTCAGCAAGCAGCCACTGCAGGGTGGCGCTGCACAGGCGGTGACCTGGAAGACAGACGGGCCCGCTGCAGCGAACGCGGGACACACTAAGTGGCACCTGCGTGGCTTTCGTCAAGTGTTCCCTTTCCAATGCCATCTAAGTGTCCCAAATGCGCACAGCCCTACCACATGTAGGGAGCAAAGCTAGTTAGCCAAGAGACAGGGAGGAAGAGGGGTCGTGAGAAAAATCATGGACCCAGAGCTAGAACCTTCCTCCAGGAGGTTCTACACGGCACAGCGTACAGTCCTAACTGCACTGCGGTGCACAGACAGAAATGCTGTGCAAGATTGTTCCGTTCCAGCCCTCCCCAGGACAGACCGACTCACAACCCAACATCCGCTGGGAGCAGGACAGAGGTACCGGCAGCCTGGACGCTTCTGCCATGGATCCACGGCCAGACGATACCAATGGCTCAGCACACTGTGTGTGTGTGTGTGTGTGATGGCAAAGCCAGGCCCAGTGCTGCACCAGACCAGGTGCCCCGCGTGCGGGGCGCGCCGGGCTCCTGTGGTGGCGTCTGCCTCTGCTTAGCTTGTGCCTCGCCTCACAGTTTTGATGAAACACACAAAGGACACGGCAATGGGGCGGGCAACATGACACGGTACTCCAAAGCAATCAGGATGCACCGGAACCCACAGGTGCCACGGGGAGAGGAGACACTGCCTACTTCCACGGGCTGCAGGGCCCCGAGGCCAAAGCGAAGCCAGCGGTGCCACCAACCTGAGTGACTACCCTCCAGGGCAGTTCTGAGAAGCACGGCTGATACTCTGATGGACGCCGTGGACGGAGGCAGGTACTTGGCCCGAAGGGAGGCGGCGCCAGTTGGCTCACTGCCAGGGCCTTGGCAGGTCTTCAGGAAGGTTTCCACAGGCTCGCAGGCAGGGCCAGGCACGCAGGGCGCCTGTGCGGGTTGTGAGGCCACACCGGGGAAGCGCAGACACTGCAACATGTCAACTGTGCGCTTGCTCAGGGGCAGGCAGACGCCCTCCTGCTCAGGGAGGTTGAGAGGGAGCTTCTCCAGACAGGGCACCTCTAGAGGGTCGGAGGGGGCCAGGGCCCCACCCACCACCTCCCTGAGGCTGTAGAAGAGCCAGCAGGACACGGTCACCGGCAGGTCCAGCATGCCACTCTCACTAGGGCCCAGGGGCAATGTCACTTCGCGCCGACTGCCGGGGCCAAGTCTGTCCACCGGAATGGTGTAGGTAAAAGTTGAGCCAGCCCCATCCAGGTCTAAGGCAGAGGAACTAGTAAGCACCTGAATACACAAGGTCCAGCCCTGGTCGAGGGTGAAGCTGCTACTGTTCTCTAGTGTACAGGTGGCCATCAGCATGTCTCCCAACTCCAGGCGGCTCCAGGAGGTAGCGATGGTACATGAGATGGGCCGGACTCCCTCCTGGCTGGACAGCAGGGCACAGCTCACATTCATGGCCTCGTTGAGGCTTGTTATGGCCTTGTTGCGCTGGTCAACAGCTTTCTTCAGGAAGGACACTCTGCAAGGAACAGACACGGCACCAGGGAGGATAAGACCTCAGGGATCTGTGCACAAGCTCTCAGAGGATGCAAGCAGCTCCCAGGCGCCAGGAGCACGCCTTGCCCTGTCTGGCCTGTGAAACTCTTTAGAACCCACTTCTGGTTGTCAGACCTGATCTCTGTTCTTGGCTAGAGGTGGCAGGACAGGATGGAGACTCTGAGCTGGCCTATGCCTGCTAGGGATGAGTTAGCCCCACAAATCACCCCTTATGCTCCCGAATGGCCCCCTTCCCCCTTTGCAACACTCCGTAGTGATAGTAGGCTGTAGGCCTATGAGGGTATCTGCCTGCGAGACGCAGGCCATAAGCCCACACATCACCAGCTCCAGGCTCAGAGTTATGAGCAAGAGGGGAAGGTTTGGGGCTGGACACTTTGCTGAGAGCTGGAACACACTGTCCGTTAACGAGGGTCCACAGACACGGCACGGGACTGACACTACAAGGCTCCTGGGGGACTGAGGAGAAAGGGCATCTTGTCTTCTGAGGGCTCAGTGCAGACTCTGGCCCCTGGTGGAGAAAGCCACACACACAGTGGTTAGCCAGAGCCTCGCTAGCCTAGGTCAGCTCCCGAGGACAAGACACAAGCTCTCTGCTTGAGCCAGAGCCTGCAGCTCACCTCTCAGAGACATCGCCGATGTCCAAGAGCAGCTCCTTGATTTTCTGGCCCGCATTTGCCATAGTCATTTTGGGAGGCACAGGCACCTCTGAGTTCAAGTCCAGGCTGCAGGCGATCAGGCGCCCTTTAGAAGACAGGGCCAGGAGCTCGGTGCCACCTGATGACGGACACACGTAGGGCTGGTCAGGCAGTGTTTGCTCTGGACTCCAGGAAAAGGGTTGGCAAAGGGCCCAGGCCATGTCCAAGGAGGGAAATGAAGTTCTGGGGGAGACTGGGGAAGCCCACACTGAGGGGCTGGACAGAGAAGGTGACCACGGGTCTCTACACACATTTTGAATCGCCTACACAAGACGTTGTCAGTCCAGACGTGATGACTCGGTAATGACTGATCTCCACAGACAGGACAAAAGGGGACCACAGGAGAACACTATAGGGCATCCAATCACTCAAAGGTGTTTCAACCTTCAAGAGGCCACACACAGCAAGGCTGCTGAGCCTTCCAAAGAGAAGTGGCCTGGAGGGGGGGGGGGCTGAGCTCCACTACATCCTCCTTGGGACATCTCAGGAAGCCTGGCTTCTCCAACACTTCTTCCTGCCCTTGCCTGTCACTGAGGGGACAGAGGCTGCCCCTGCCAGAGGTCTGCTTGCTCCCAACACAGCTGTTACCACGAGTCTTGAAGCGGGTAGTTTATCAGCGGAAAGCCAGTTCCTACATACTGCAGCCACACCTACCCCTGCCCCAGCCCGGTGGTAGTTTGGCTCATGCAAGCATCCCCTCACAACTGTTTTCTGAGGACCTGGGCACTCGTTGATGAGCTTAATGGGGAGCACCAGGGGAGGGGGTGCTTTCCTCTCATCCCAGCTACAGCTTTCTTAGAGAACTCTGAGACGCCCTGCGAATGGCTCATAAACAGGACACACAGCTCACCCAGCTCTCGGGGGACACAGGGAGGCTTGGTCTGACCTGATTTGTTCCTGCTGTGGGGGATGTTCCACAAGCCACATGCTGTGAGCTGGCACTCAAGTGGGGAGACAGAGAACGCCCAGGCAGAGCGGGTAACGCCCAGCGCCAGGCAGGACACGCAGAGGTACCTCGACTCCAAGACAGGAGTGAGTGAGCCACTGACGGGCCTGGTGAGGAAAGCCCGTGCCTGCCCCCTTAGCAAAAGTCTCAGCAAAGAAAGGGGAAGGCTGTCCCAAGGCTCGGTCACAGCTCAGGGCTAAGGGCGGGTCTTACCTGTCGATGCCCCTGATGACACATGGAGAGTGACGACACTGCACATATTCAGACTGGCTGGGCACAGCATGGAGGGCAGACCTCCGACGGCCCCATCTGGTTTCTCAGGGTTCCAGGGAGTGTCTCTCCGGGTCAAGTCTACCATGCAGAGGTTCGACGGGGTGCTGTGGTACAGGTGGCCATCCCCGCCACAGGCAGCACAGAGCACGGGCCCCGGGAGGCAGTACTCACGAAGCTCTGGCACCAGGTTCCCTGACTCACTCCAGCCGGCCTTGATGGCCAGTGTCCGGCCTTGGTGGCCAAGGGCTACCAGGCAGTCAGAGTGCACATTCTCCTCAGGCGGGGGCTCTCTTGCCTCCTCCTCCTCAGCGTCGGGCTCCGCCCTCACGGCCCCAATGAAGACCACGGGCTCCTCCAGGTGATGGAGGATCTTGACTAGGACCTTTGGGTCACCAGGGGCTAACCCACAAGTAACCAAGGCCTTCAGGACCACGCAGCAAAGCTGGCCATCGGGGAGACCGCAGAGGATCACAGGGGACTGCATAAGGGTGGCATCGGCTCCAAAGAGTAGACCGAAGAGAGCCTCCTCTAGCGTGAAGCAGCCACAGCCCTGGGGGTGACCGTGAGGTGCTTTGGAGTCTGGTGGGAAGGCGCAGCTAAGCACTGGCAGGAAGCAGGGGGCTGCGGGCTTCCCTGGCACCCCGCCTGGAGGGGTGCATGTGGACAGCTCCACCTCACCGATCTGGCCTCCAGGCCGAGGCTCCTCCCCTGGACAGGGGCGCTCAAACAGCTGCATCTTCCACTGGGTGGGGCCCTGTACCAGGGTGACCAGCATGTCATCGAGCACCGTGAAGGCACAGAGTGCAGCATCTGGGAGGACACAGGCGTCTGGGTCCACACGGATCACAGGGGAAGGGTTGGCCTCATCCTCTTTGTCCTCGCAGGCCTGGATCACAGACCTTCAGGAACAATGGAACAGTAGTCAGCACTGGGTGGGATAGCCTCACCTTATATTCAGCAATAACCTGACTTGTTCGCCGCAGCGGGCTAGGCAGCAGGCATCACAGGAAGTGCTGGAAAGCGTTCCCATGGCACCCACAGGCCACTCAGCAGGTCAAACCCACCATCTGACACCGGGGTCAGCCAGGAGCATGGCCCCGCAGACAATGCCCGCCAGCTTGGGAATGGTCCCCGTCCCCAGTGCGGCACCTGGGCTGTGTGTGTTGTTTCCCCGGCAGCGGCCAATGGCCAACAAGCCTTTGCTGTCACTACACCTCTTTCTGAGACCCACTTCCTCCTGAGATGTCTTGCCAGACACCCGAGGACAATAGCAGTTACGCCCCTGGCTGCAGACTTCACTACCTGAGCCTCAATAGCTAAGAACTTCTTCACGGGAGCTGACACTCTAGGGTCACAGCAGCACAGTTAGTGCACGGGTGTTGGGAGGGGGGCAAGAGGTTGTTCCACGTGCGGGTGCTGATGGCCTAGGCTGCCGTGCGTGCGCTGCCAGGATCCTCCCTGCGTGTTGTCAGTGGCCGGTGGGCACGGGAGGGGGCAGCACATGTCAGCAGGTGTACGGACGGACAGACGGAAGGACGTGCAGGCCTCCCTAGGGACCAGCCACAGCCGCGTAGGGCCACGCCCCCTCACCTGTCCCGGGAGTCCAACGACAGACAGTAGATGCCGGTCCGGGCGCACAGGACGTAGAGTGCCCTGCGGATCGCCAGGAGCTGCAGGTGCCACACCTGGTCGGGAAACTGGTACACCGCCTGGGCGCCAGGAGAGCGTGGTCAGGCGAGGGCGCAGGCGGCCCCGGCTCACCTGGGTCGGCGCCGCCCGCCCGCGCTCCCGCCGGCCCGCCCGCCCGCCGCTCACCGTCAGCACCCCGCCCTCCTGGTCGTACACATAGACGAACTCGCGCCCGGTGGACAGGAAGACCTCCGCCTCGTGACGCAGCACACGCGGCTTGGCCCCCGCGCGGCCTCCGAGCGGGCAGCAGAAGTCGGACAGGTACTGCACGCGGGACGCAGAGGCAGCGCCCGCCATGGTGCGGGCGCCGGGCCAGGGCTCAGCCTCGAGAGGCGGCGCCGCCTCCAGGCTTTACGGCCGCCCACAGCGCGGCGCGGCCTCCGCCGTAAAGCGGCCGCCGCGGAGGCGGAGGCGGGGCCGGTGCGGGGGCGGGGCCGGAGCGCGGGAGGTGCAGGGCCGAGGCTCAGAGCGGAACGCGGGAAGCAAGCCCGAGGGCGGCCAGATGGGAAGCGGCCTTTCAGGTCCACCCTGGCCCAGGAAAGGGTCCTTGCCTCAGACCGCCTACCTGGCGAGCAGAGGTTGCTCTGGTGAAAGGCTGTGTGCCGCACCCTGCGTTGTCTCAGCACCTGGGAAGGTGCCACCAACGTGGCATTAGGCTCTTTGGAGATGGGTGGCTCGCGACACTGAGCAGTCCCTTGGCCAGGGAAAAAGGGGCTTCGGGTCGGGTCAGCCAGGCAGCCGAGCCTGAGCTCTTCGGGTGCACAGGATGCCCACAGAGGCCTAAGAGCAAGGCCTAAGGGAGGCTTTCCGTTTTCCTGGAAGGCTGCTCTTTGAGGGAGCAGGCTGAGGTGTGAACCTACTCTGGATGACACCCCAAGCGGAAGATCAAGCACTCTTTGTCTTCCAGGAACCAGATGCCACTATGGCCTATGATGCTGTAGTGGCAGCTCCTCGGGGGCTGAGACAGGATTGCTTGAGTTGAGTGTGGTGGGGTTAGCTCAGGAAACTCTGTCTCTTAAAATAACGCTCGTATGAAAACTTCAGAGGCCAAATCTAGGAGTAAAGGTGTCTGGGGCACAACAGGGTACAAAAAAATGTCTCACGGGCTTGGACACAGGATAATCCTAGCATAGCTGTTAAAACACAACCCTAGGGCTAGACATGGCTTGGCAGTTGAGAGCATATATTGTTCTTGCAGAGGGCCCAAGTTTGATTTCCAGCATCTACAGCCCCTGGCAGCCCCAGGGGCTTCCACATCGTCCACTGGCCTTTTTCTATGTGTGGTGTCGGCACACACCATTAGTCCCAGCACTCTGGAGTCAAAGACGGGCCAGAACCAGAACTACTCAGTGAAACTATCTCTAAAACAAACTAAGTTTATCCTTGTTTTTATGGACAGGGTTTTTCTGTGTAGTCCTGGCTGTCCTGGAAGTTGCTCTGCAGACCTGGCTGGCCTCAGAACTCAGAGATCCAACTGTCTCTGCCTCCTCAGTGCTGGAATTAAAGGCATCCACCACCATGCCCAGCTGTAAATTAAAAAACTAAAAATGAAAATATAAACTGAAAGCTAAACCACAACCTTAACCTGAGGTGACCTCTGGAACAGATCTCTGAGTCCTGTCCCCAGGCTGCTCTGAAGACACTGCTGATGAAGTCTTCCTCTGCAGCACCCGAGTCTCCTTCAGGGAGTTGGAAGCATCCTTAGCTCATCTTCTACACACTCAAGACCGTTCCCATGCTGTACAGGTGGCATGTGCACATGCACTCGCACACTCACACTCACACACATCTGGTGGGCAAAGGTTCTGGGCACAGAACAAGGCACTGGGAGCAGGGCAATCGCTTCAGGCGCTTTTATTAGGTTCCACTGCAGGGCTAGGGTCCACGCCCTGCCAATGCACACCTATGAGCCCAAAGCAGAGCCGAAGCGGGAGCACCCATGTCCCAGGAGCAGGCTGGTCAGGGCAAGGCCAGGGCGAGGCCCCATCTCTGAGCCTGAAGAGGACCATGGCAGCCACTGGGTTCACTTGGGTAGGTATACCCACAGGCACCCCTTTCTGGGTTATAGTGCCTGACGGCAGGAGGGATTAGAGGTGGGACTAAGGCCACCTCCATGGAGGAGGAGGTAGCTGAGCTGCTCAGGCCTGAACCTTCTGTAGGGCTCACCCAAGCTGGTAGCGTTAGCTTGACTCTCTTTGGACAATAAAATAAAGTGCATTACTGAACAAAGAGTAATTCAAAACCATAAGCAGAGAAAAATCACAACAATTTCTTTAGCTAAAGACAAGAAAACAAGAATGATGTGGATTCCAAAACACGAGAAAAAGTAATTAACTTTGTAGACAAAGATGAGCAGGGAACAAGTGGCAAAAACATCTCCAGAGTTTGTGCTGTTCAGTACCTGCCCAGCATGAATAGCGGTGCTAGTACGAGTTTAACTGGCGTCAGGAACACAGCCAGGCCAGGACATCCAGTCTACCAGATCTCGGGGGGCCAGCAAAGACACAGTGTGGAGCCCTCACTGGGGGGGGGGAGGGCCAGGAGGGAGACAGGGAGCCCTCAGCGCTGTCTCTGCTAACTGCTGGCAGGTGGCTGGAGAGACTGCTTGCTCTCTACCTCCTGACCCTCCAGGATGACCCCGCCAACACTAAACCAAACTCAATGGCTCCACGGTCCCAGGGCCTCTGACCTCAGATCGCCTGCCAGGTGAAAGCAGAGATGCTGACCCCAGCCTCACCACATGAAAACCTAGCAGACACTGTTGCGCCCACAGGGCCGAGGGTGTGGAAGGCAGCAGGAGTGCACCCAATTAAAGTGACACATATGGCCTCCAGTAGTCTGTGGTGTGCATGGCCATTCCCAGGGCGAAGGACAGCTGACTGAGCTCTCATTAAGGCAAAGAGGCATCAAGATATCCACATCTTACCTGGTAAGGGCTGTCACAACACAGCCACAAGAGAGACCGTTTCTAAGTGCCCACACCTGTCCGGCCTGGTGGTGGTCACGTGGGCACCTTCTCTAGGCTGTCTCGACCACCACAGCCAGCACTGCAAGAGGCCACAGTGTCGGGGGCCTTGAGTAAAGGGGCAGTGCTGGGAGACGGGACCAGATCCCAGGGCTGCCTACAGACTTGAGGGGGCTGACCGCCAAGCAAGAGCCACCACTGCTCTGCTAAACCACCCAGGCTACCAGCTGCCACCATGCTGTGGCACGATAGGAAAGTCTCAGGCACTGAGGTTTGCTTCAGAGGAGAACTGGCGGCGGCCCCTGGCAGGAACACCCTGAACACTCAGGAGGGGCTGCCCTGAAGGAGGAAAGAAAGCAGAACTAAGTCGCTCCCACTCCCGTCTGTGCTGCTTTATCGTAAAAACAATAAATAAAAGCTTTCTGGGCAGGAAGTACTGATAACTGCTGATTTCAGGCGAGGGCAGGGGCACACTGCACTGCAGCTCAGACCAAGGACCACCTAGCCACACATGCTCCCAACAAGAGGAACACAGCCCCACGGCAAGGGACAGAGGCAGCCAGGAGCATCCATCCAAAAACTGGGGAGAAGGTGGGAGGCAGAAAACAAAAAGCAGAGGAAGGAGAGACTGCGGGGTGACTGCAGCAACCTCTCTGTGCGCCCCAGTCTCAGGGGACTGTCTGAGGCGCTCAGTCCTTCCAACAGAGCAGGGAGCTATTAACTAGGTGAGGCGTGTGGGGTGTTCTCGGGCAGGGCTGCTCTGCCCTTCCAGTTGGGAGGCTCTGTTCATTCCCCAGCACAGCAGCTGGGGCTCTTTCTCTTCAAGATTCGCACTGAGACGCCTCAGGGTAGCTGGCCCCACTGCTTCAGGGCTCTGGGCTTCAGGCCTTATAGGAAACGTGGCGCTCCAGGCTTCTGAGAGGGCTGGGCTGGTCCAGTCCCGCTCAGCAGAGGGCCAGAGCCCTAGGTCCTGGGGAGGCTGCACATCTCGCAGTGGCCGGTGCCAGGCTGGTTCATGAAGGTGCAGTGCTGACAGGCCCACATGGCAGACGGAGCAGCGCGTGGAGAGCCCCCGACTGCACCGTATTCATGAAGGCCTGGGAGCTGCACACCCACAGTGCCTGTAGGGCGAACGAAGAGCAGGGAGAACACATCAGTGCTGCACAGAAGGCGTCTGGAGCGCTCTGTGACGGGCAGAGCGGCCTCCAAAGCCCCCACTGTCTGAGCACAGACTGCAGCAAATGCCCCACCCTGCTCCGCACTAGGCAGGAGCTTTCTCCCCTGTTGCTAGCTATTCCTGTGAGAGCCACCACACCCTGTGGTGGGCATCTGGGTAGTTTCATTCTTACATAAACTCTTTGTGGAGTTGTACCTTCCTTTCCTCCTGGGAAAGGTCCAACAGTAAGGCTGCCCCATCAGAGGTCAGTGTCTAGCATTCCTTTTCTTTGTTTAGACAGGGTTTCTCTGTGTAACAGGACTGGCTGTCCTGGAACTCGCTCTGTACACCAGGCTGGCCTCAAACTCACAGAGATCAGCCTGCCCCTGCCTCCCGAGTGTTGGGATCAAAGGTGTGCGCCTGGTGGCAAAAGGTAGTTGGGATAATTTAAGAAAAGTTGGCTAGAAATAAAGCTAAGCTAAGGCCGGACATTTATAAGAAATAATAAGACTGTGTGTGTGATTTATGTGAGGGCTGGGTGGCGGGCCTCCCAAAAGTATAAAGAGCCCAAAAGAGGAAGAATAAAAAACAAAAACAAACAAACAAAAAACATTTCAGCATCCCAACGTGGGGCTAGAGTAAAAGAAAAGCCAACAACACAATCAGACACTCTTTAGGAGTCCGTGCTCATGAACATGGAGCTTTGGACTCTGTCACCTGCAGCACTGGCAACTGTCCTGTCTAGTCAGAGTGACGGGGACGGTAACGCTAGCAGTGCTCAAAGGTATCTTTCAGACCAGGGATCTATCTGGTGCACATAATCACACAGCTTAAAACTCTACAAACACAAGGGTTATAGCTGGACACTAGGTGGCCACATCAGCAACCACGACATGTGCCCAGCCAAAGAGGCTGCCTGTGTGTGTCCCTTTGCCCAAGCCTTCCAGGGAGGCTCCTGGTTTACAAGTCCCGGGTATAAACAACAGAGCTCATGTTGTACATTTTAGCTGTGGCTTTGGCAGTGGGGGGTTGGGGACACTTACTGCAAAGCTGCTCAATGGTGGCCCACTGTTCAGATTTCTTCCATGTCTGAGCCAGCTCCTCGTTTCTGGTCCTCACCGCTTCTAGCAACAGGCTGATGCTGTCCTGCAAGAAGACACAGGAAGGTTCCACTTTGCTCTGATTCAGGGGAAAGACTCTTACTATCTTTTTTCCC